TCCTTCCGGGCCTGCTCAGAGCCTGAGAGATGCGGAGGGGTGGATGCCGCATCTCAGCATCTCGACACCCCCTGAGAAGGTGCGGTGGACTCGGGCACATTCTCGGAGTCCTCAGGTGAACTCAGGTGTTCGCCCATATGCCCGGCTTAGGATACGGCAGTGAAGGGGCAGACGCTGCCCCCTCCCTTGTGGAACTGATGATGAGGGGGGAGAGGGAGACATCACATGAGAAAACCTAACACTACAAACTTGGGGGGGAGTGCAGGAAAACGGGGTATCTTAGTGAGGGGCACGTCCTCCACTGTAGTATGACATTCTGACGTTTCTGCCGTCAGGGATGGCATCAGGGCTCAAAGCCAGACAAGTCTGAAGGTGCATCCACAAAGTCCGTTGCTGTTCTGTGTCATCGTTGTGTCGTGTAACTTGCTGTTTCTCCCTCTCTGGGTGGAATCGCTGGGTTTCTTCCATATTCTTCCGAAGAGTGGCAGCCCCTGGAGACATCCTTGGCTCGCTGTGTCCTGACGTCCTGTTGATAAACAGGAAGAGAGGCTTTGCTTCAGGAAGCAGGTGGATTCCAGTGGGACGTGGCTCCGTGTGCCTGCCCATGGCCAGGAGAAAATGTCACATCTGCCCAGAGGGTCTCCCAGGTGTTTGCCCACCAGGGTGGAGATCCCCCTCTCAGACACGGTCTCCTCGGGGCAGAGCAGACTTCACCATTCCCAGCAGGCACAGTTTGGAAAAAGAGAAAGTGGTAAACATTTGACAATCATTTTCAACGTTAAGGGCGGACGTTTCTGTTGATTTGTTTGCAGGGAATTCTAGAGAGAGTAGGGAAGAGGGTATATGGTAAGAATGCAAACAGCTTGTAGAGTAGTTTTCTAAGTATAATTTGCAATTCTTGCTTTTGTCTGAAAGTAAAGTGGTAGGAAAAAAAATGACCATCATATGCCTCGTGGAGAGGTCGCACGGGCTGGGGTCTCAGCCTTCTGCAGGGCTCGAACCTGAGCCCCAGAAACGGCACAGCAATGAGCTCCCGAGAGCCCGGCGGGACTTCTGACCACAGCGACATGCCATGTGCGTGGCAGCTGGCATCCGATCTGCTGCAGCGACACAAACGTACCCGCAGGACACTTTCCCCACATTTTCACGGAGGGCCTGTCTCTGTAGTCGTGTTGGTTTATCTTTCCCGGCTTGGTTGTTCTTCTGTTACAACTAAATGTCTTCCTCCTCGTTTTGTGTCTAGCCTGCCCTGTGTCTTAAAGTCTCAAATCAGTTCAGGCCTTTACCAGTGACCAGATGGTGCGCGTGAGGGTGGTGTGTCTGTGGGTGTTCGTTGGGGGAGGTCTGGGTGTCTGTGTTGTGCGTGTCAGGTGGGCTCGGGTGTCTCTGTGGCTGTCTGTGTCTGGCCCT